TTTATTTACTAGGTGTATTAATATGGACGTTGATTGCTTTGAAACTAATTATAGAAATCGATTGATTTACACTTTGACACATGAATGTTACATATATATTATATGTAATGTCAAATTTAACTTAACGTGAATCGCCACTTGCTCCTACTCAATTATATCGTTATTTTATACTAAAACAATAGTTATTTAACACTATACAATGTCAATTTGACACTATATCGTGTTATAATTTTTACCAAAACGATATTTAGTAGAAACAATGGGGCGACTCACGTTAGATTAAATTTGATACTGTAGATTTAACAGTGTACAAATAAAATGTGATTTATCTCAAGAAATTGAATTTATTGTACCTTTGACATTTAACCCGGCGTCATTGTGTGGCTAGGTCATAATGACATTTTTAAACATCTATATTTTCTTACATACTTCGTCGATTTTTAACTAACCGCTCTGTAACTGGAGAGACTAAGACTTTCTAAAACCATTGTTGACATTGTGAGAATAGACAAAAAAAAATTCGGGTTATCATGATTCACCTCAACGAACGTGTAACATTTTAGCATCACAATGACGTCGGGTTAACAGTGTAGAAAATTCGACCAATTGCTACAATAAATTCAAATATCCTAGCCACAAGTTTGAGCTGTTTGCCAGGATTGGAAAAAACCCGGGCTTTTTAAAATAAAATTGATTATTTGATATTTTTTTCACGTAATATTTAAGTTTACGTTATATTTAATTACATATTCAAATAAAATTAATTATAATAAATTTTGTTAAAAATATTGATAAAATAGTGATAAATTTTTCAAATATAAAAAAAACACTTCTATATAATGAACATTCAACAAATAGAAAATAAGAAATGTCCATAATGATTAAAGCTGGATCTTTTAATGCTTAAATAATTCGATATGAATTTATATACTATGCAATATATATGTACATGCATATATATCATACTTGTAGTCATTTGAACTGCACGCCGAAATTTTTTATCGGATCTTAAATTTGTTTCACATAATTATTTTGATAGTTGAACCAAATTATTTTCAGATCTGTATTTAGCTAGATCTTTTAGATGCTTCAGCAGAACCGTCCTTTTCCGCGAAGCATCTCCAACAGCGCGAACGAACACGTATAGACGCGCCAATGCTTATTCCTTTGCGTGGGTTTGTAAGAAACTTGAAAAACGAATTGCATCGCAAAGGATTTATCCTTGGACGAATCCGAGCGAGGAAAAATGCGGGGAAAGCGAGAAACGCTTGTGCCTCGACGAACCGTTATTCCTATCCGAATTCTCCCAGGTAGAAAATTCGGATAGGAACGCCACCTTCGGGACTGCAATTACCGGACGCTTCAACAATGGTATTCAACGCCCACTGACAACATCCTCGATCGTAACTGCGATGCTACCGAAGCCGCTGATGATTACCGCGCGCGCAATAAACTGGACATCCCATGGATCGTAAACGGCGCAATCCCCGAGTGCTATAATTAGCGTTTTGCGGAGTCGCGTTATGCCGAAGTATTATCTACTTCGATCCAACGGATTGGATTTAACTCGCCCGTCGATCCTCTCCGAGCGAATAAACCACATTCTATTGTGCTACTCGGAGACCGTCTCGTAAAATAAGTCGAATCGACTGCGAACAGAAATAATAGATCATTTGCGCGTTAAACAAAGCACACGTGCTTACGTGGGTTGCGTGTTCTTTTCCATCTTTATTATTCACGTTATGGATGAAAACTACTGTCCGAGAAAAGAATCACCCTAGGGTTAGTTAATTACCGGCGGGACGTAGTTTCCCAGAAAAAAATTATCATTGAGTTTAAACCCGTCTAAGTCCACGGTGAGCGGTGCGCTTTTTTCTTTTCTTTACATTTACAAACGAAATCTTCAGCAAGTAGCAGATCTCCATAAATTCACTGGCTAGCGAAACGACACGCATGCGAGCCAAACAAAAAGATTTACTTACGTGTAACGTGCACTAGGAAAAAAGAGTCTGATTGTTTTAAATGGAATTCTGGTTGAAAATGGACAATCCAGGATTTCAATTCTGGCTAAATCCATTATAATTTTAGTTCAGATTATCAGAATTGTGATGAATGTGATTAGAATTTTCTGATTAAATCAACTAAATGCTACCCTGAAAAACCCATTTATTTAGTTGATAAACAAAATCCTTCATTGATGCAATAAAATAATTTAGTTGAAGCAAAACATTTGATTATTGTAACATTTTACTTGTTTCTGATAAATATTGACATCTGATGAACTTGTTTATCCAAACAAGAAATCAACTGATTCAACTAAATGGGATTTCTCAATGTACAGTGAACAAAATTACTGACTCTTAATATTTCTTTTTAGTATAAAATAAATATTTATTCAATAGAAAAAGTGATGACTTAATGCTTTTTGCATCAAATAAATATATGTTTACATTTGGTAAATATCTGATTAGTACCATTCAAACAAATAATAATTTATTACAATTTATTAAATTCTTTTTTCAGAGTAGTTGAGATAAGACCAGAATTTCTGATACGATCAGAATCTTCTAGTTCGTTTTCAATCAGAAATTTTTCTTATCAGAGTAGACGAGCTTCAATTTTCATAGATTAGTTTAACAGGGATCGTCCCTCTCTCTCTCTCTCTTTCTCTCTTCAGTCTGTTATCAACACGTATACACGAATGAATGAGTCGCACTGCTCGCCGTTACTTTCGAGAATCACTGCAATCCGTTAAAGACATTATACACGTTCACGATGCGTGACCGGCCGTTGCGCGTTACCAAACGGCGCAACGTTGTTTTGTATGTTGGATGTTTAACGATCTTTTTCCATTTCGCGATCGCGATCGGATCTCGCAGGTAATAATGGCGCCGCGCGTTCGGACTTCGGATTCGACGGGAGAATTGAGAAAGTGATGGGATAATTGATTGTCGCGGTATGCGACAATTAAAGCCACTTCGGACAGCCGTGGACAGCCATGGAACGCATCTGGCCGCTGAATAAATCCGAGCGGGTGAAGCCGCGCGAAGCCGCGCTTGCCTCGCGCGAGTGCAGTAGCGCAGTCATTGAACTCGTCGTCGGCCACAATTTTCATGTAAAACGGGGGCAAGGCTATTTTATTCGTAGTGCCTGGAATAGGCGAACGTACTCGCTGAGTAAGAAGATAGGAACAGACGCGGTTCGCCGAGGCGCAAGTTTTAATTGTGCAATCGAAAACAATGCGCTTTTACGACACGGCCGTGTAACGTCGCGCGACGAATCCGGGAATATTCCGATTTCGACGCATTAAAAGTATTTCTAAGCCATATATTTCTGTAGCTCTTAATGACAGTAACGTCATACGTGTATCGTTAATGTATTGTCTTCGCTCAGCTTTTTTTTTAATCGTATACAGTGTTAAATTAGAGTCGTTAAGAATGTAGAATAGAAAGCCTTACTGTTCAACTCCTTTCGGTTCAACTCCTTCAGAATCTGTGTAGATTTTAATGTACACCAAATTCGACGGCATTATCCGTCGTAATTGAAATTGATTTAATTCTGTCGACATCATCGAGATCAAATGTACATAATTTTTTTCTCAAATACTATCAACTTTACAGAAAAACTGTAAGAGACAAAAATTGTTTATTTTCTTCTCATAAGGTTCTGAGAATTTTTTCAGAATTTTTCAATACCGTATTTTCTCATGATAATAAAAATAAGAAAATGCAGTAAAACTAAAAAATTGATAAAAAACTCTCTTATAGGTTTTTTTGTAAAATTGATAGTATTTGAGAAAAAAATTATAAAAGACCAATATTCGACCATTTTTAGTAATTAATATCTTATTAACTATTACGAAAATTGCAAAATGGTATAAGACTTTTTTGTTCCCCTTGACCCATTCTACGCCCCCAATGCGACCTTACTTAAGAGACACCTGTATATGTTGAAAAAAAAATAGTCAAAATTTGAAAAAAAAAAAAAAAAAAAAAAAAATTATTTAGTATGAATTATTTATTAAATTGCTTAAATAAAAAAAAATGTCTTAACATAACTCTAATAAAATCAGATCTGAAGGGATTAACGTACGCGCGCAGACTGTCCCAACTGACGTAAAAAAAACTTTTTATCCGTCGGCCTCGCTACCTTCGCGAGCGAACAACCGGCATCTTCAGCTTCGCGTGCGACGTTTACATCGGAGAAGTGTCACGACTGGCAACGGCTGGAATTTCATTCGTTCTACAAAAGGCGCGGAGAAAGCGAGGCGCTAGCAACAATGTGAGACGTTGCTCAGGATATTTCGCGAACGGTGGTTCTACCTACACGGCGAATGCATTACTCGCGCGTCCATCAGCCGAAACCTCTGTGTATCCTTCGAAAAAGTGTGCCACGCGAAGCACAGCGGGCATCATCTCCAATGGCATCCGCGATGCTGTCGAGAATCACCGATCCACTTGTTGTTTACCGGACAATACTGGAAACGCGACGGAGGTTGTTGGGAGCAGCACGAGTTTTATCGTCGCTTCTCTTCATGGTAACTGACGATATTTAAAGGGATGACTAATTAATGTGATTTCACGAGAAAAATTTATTATTCCGCGTAGCCGCTGTCGCGTTCCTCGTTGCGACAGGAATGAGAAAAACTATCGCGTTTGATCAATGAATGCGCGATAGTGTAACTTGCGCAACGCGGGACGCAGCGGTTCGCATATTTCACGATAATCATCGCATTCCTGCGTAAGCGAGTATCGCTATTCTGTAAGAATTAAATACATTGTTTTCAATATTCAATATTTTTGTTCTCTCCTTGTGTATACGTCGGAGTACAATGTACTCTTCATTCTCCGCATTTTCCCTTCGCGATAAAACGGAAGGTATTAGTCGATTAACGTGTAACGTTATCGAAAGAGTTGCCACAGTTGTGGTTTACAAGGGATGCCTCCCATTTATGCCCGTTTTCAGTGTAGATTAACTTTAATCTCGATTTAACTTACTCTTCGTCTTTTTCTAGTTCTAGAGATTAGAAAAAGACGAAAAGTAAGTTGAACCGAGATTAAAGTTAATCTACATTGGTGAAAATGAGCATTAGTGACACAAGTATCGTTCTGTCGTTGTGTACGTGTGGAATGCAAAAAAGGATAGAACATTTATGTTGGCTCGTGTCGTTATGTCACTAAATGGAAAGCACCCAAGATCAATTAGTGGGGATTTTATGGTGAAATCGGTCACTCGCTACACTATTGGTACATTAAAAAAGCTGCTTTACAATCTAAATAAATAAAAGAACAATGAAAATATCTATATGAAGCATTTAAATGCAGTAGTATAATATAATCAACTTGGACAATGAAAATAATATATTCTGTTAATTAACGCAATTACATCATTATTTAATCGTTTAAAATATTTATATGCTTTTACACTGATAAAAAATTTATTAAATTTCAATATTTTTTAAATAACATTAATGAAATGTTTACGTACAATAAATATAAATATTTCAATAAAAAAAATGACAGTCCGCTTAATCGTTCTTGTATACAAACAAATATATGTTTATATCTATTAAATATTTAATTAGTACTATTCAAACAACATTTATTAAAATTTAATACATTTACTAAAATATATTACTAAACTTTAGTACATTTTTTTCAGTGTACATTTAACTTTGCTAATTTCATGTAGCAACATTAATTTAGTATGCACTAATCTAGTGTAGGTAATGCAAGTGACTGAATTCGCTATTATTCTCACAGGAGAAAAAGCTCTCCCTGTTGGACACTCGGCTAAATAAAATGGCAAACTGGATTCATGCCTGTTTCTATCAATGTAGATTAATTTTAATCTCGGTTTAACTTACTTTTTATCTTTTTCTCTTTAGTTCTATAAATTAAAAAAAGGCAAAAAGTAAATTAAACCGAGATTAAAGTTAATCTATGGACATCATTAACTTCCGTGAAGTTGGCATCTTATTGTCAAAATTTCAATGTAATTGATAGAGTTCTAGAGTTCCCGATAGGTTTCGAAAAGAGTTCTGCACGATTCAATGCAAAAGGATAATTCAATACTTAAAATACTAAAAATAATGTAAAAGTATGCGATGCCAACTTCGTCTGTTACGGATTCTCACTTGAATAGACTCAACAATTGTTTAGAAGATACTCATAAGATAGCGTGATCGAACAGGGGTCAACTGAGACCTTCAATATTATATCTTAGTGAATGTTGAAAGAGCGACACGATGAAGAGTTTACAGAACAGAGTTCTCTCGGGCGAAACAACATCAAGCGAGCAACTGAAAATAATAAGACGGTAAGCTTTCCGAGATAATCATTTTGCAACTTTCTGATCATGCGAAATCAGCGAAATCACTCGCGAGGAATACGTTATCGCCTTTGATATTTTCAACACATAACGAAAGATTTCAAAACAGTTTGCCTATCGCCTACAACGTTTTCAAGGCTATTTTCGTATCTCGAGAGTATTTTTGCGCGCAAGATAAATAAAAAGTTACTTGCCAATACATTTACATACGGCTTAACTATGTTGGAAAATAAGTTTTTGCGTCTGTCGAAGTGATACCACCATCGGCATTCGCATCTCGTAATATACATATACATAAACGTAATTGAGCTGCCAACCGACGGTGTGTCCGCTCCTCGGCTGATTTATCCTCGCGTTACTTATCTAATCTCGTGTATTATAAGACCGAAATAACATCCGTATTTTCATACACCGGGCGTCCCGAAATTCTCCTAAAGCGAGAAAGGGAAAACATAGGGATATCCCGTGAGTCACTTTCGTCTACAACTCGGGGAGAGGATCTCAACCAATCTACGCTCGACCTTTTCGTTAATCTTGTTCAAGGGATTGATGAAAGGATGAAAAAAAAGAGAAAAAAAATAGAAAAACGAGCGAGTTGCAAGAGAGGATGTGCAATGTCAATGAAAAAACACTTACCACCACCAGAGTTCCAGCAATTATCAGTCATCCCTGTTTATCCATCTGCAGAGTTGGCACTACATTATAATTACACTGATCCAACTCGCTCGAATGTCTCGCGGCACGTTGATCCTTGACGGCGACGGCGTCGTTACGCGCGCCGGATACACTTTTCATGAGCCCTAGTGCCGCCCGACAAAACTCTCAGCTCCGCCGCATCGCTTTACACCAATGAGAGCACCTGTCTCATTATTGATCTCACACTACACTCTCTCGATCGCCGATGTACCGGGTGGGCCGCACCGCGAAGACCATCCGTAAGGTTTTCGCGCACTCCCGATTAACACCCGGCCACCCGGTTGGCCACTTCCGGCGACAGTAAGCGAGGATTTCCTTTCTGTAACAGTAGAACCACGCGCGTCTACAGAACCGCCAGGAGCATTCCGTTCCTTTTTTTTTTTTCTTTTTCTTCGAGCCGTTTTTCCGATCAGGTGGATCGCAAACTTGTTCGATCGATTACTACTGGCTGCGTCCGGCAGAGAAAGCAGCTTTGCAACTGTTGTAAAATTCTATAATTTAGTAAGCGTAAGATTTGACCAATCGCAGTCGAATATTCTCCTCATTTTTCGACTACGATTGATCAATTCTTACAACTACGCAACTATAAAATAGGCTTTTAATATAATTGGTTTGTACGTTTAAGCGGCGTCTATAATGAGATTTAACGCATAAAAGCTTAAGCTTTAAGCCTGAAGCCGTACAAAATTTACCACAGTCGAATGTGAGGCCAATAATCGACTATTAGCGTTTTTCATTGGGAAAACTAGTGCAACACCGATTCAATTACATGCAAATTAATTCACATACCTTTAACGTTAATAAATAATTTAATTACATATTCCTTATTGTCATGATAACCTTATAACTCTAAAAGGATTTATTACGATTGAAAATAGAATAAACTGATTTGCACCAATGTTGCAATAGTTTTCTCAGCGGAAAATGCTATGATTGGCATATTTCTTGTGGCTCAAGGCTTAAGTTTTGCGCCTTAAATTCTTATTGTAGACGTCGCTTTAAAGTGAGGAACGAAAAGTAAAGCCTTAAGATGTTTTCCCGAAGTCTGTTTTACTGATTATTTTTCAAATAAGTATTGAAATACTTAATTTTTAACTGCCTTTACACAGATTAAAAAATGCTTTTTCACAATTAAAATATATTATAATTCAAATCGATCGAATTTATGCCAAAAATAAAAAATCAATTTGTCAGTTATTTGGAGTAGGGATTACATAAACAAACAGTTCTTAGAATTTGGCTTAGATATCTAATATAAAAGATTAATTAGAAAATTTGTACGCATGTGTGCATGCAATATATTGATGCAGCAGAGTGTAGTGATGTCAATGACACGTAAATGGTAGATATGCAAATCTTACTGAATCGGTAAAACAGTCGACTTTAGGATCCTCTTAAATACAATGAAAAGCACACGGAAAACAGATTTCATCCTATCGGAAACGTGTATTCTAAAGTGTGATCCACTTAACGATACAAATACTTTGTTGACTGATAGAAGAAAGAATTTTACTCCCTGAATTGAAAACACTTGCGTGTAAATATTTACATAATTACTGAAAAGAGTCTGATTGTATCGATTGGAATTTTGATTGAAAATGAACAAACCAGAAATTTTCTAAATCAATTATAATTCTAGTTGAAAAGCAGAAATCTGCTTGATATAATCTCAGAATTTTCTCCGTCCATTTTCGACAAACCAGAAATTTTCCTCGACAAACATAAAGTAGATCGCAACCTAGTATACAGTTTCGATTGCCTGTTACATATCATTTTGTTTAAAGCCTAAGACCAAACAAAAAAAAAGAATTTTACAATAGTTTCGCGAAACTTCCTTTTCCGCTGAACGCAGCCATAGTTCGAGCGAGTGCCATCGAACGATTATCGATCGGCGCCTGTTTCGAGAGACTCGCTCTACGGATTCGTTCGTCTCTGCGAAAAGACACGCGCCGTGCACGCTACGCTTTGTTACGAACACCGTTATCCCCTTTACGATATACCACGTCGTCGTCCTGCGACGACGGAAATCAGAAGTTGGCCGAACGGATCGATCGTACTGATGAGACGAGCGTCACCGATCGCTTCTCAAATTAGTCCTCGGCCGCGCGAAGAGTGTCCGTCAACATGGAATTCATTACGATGGACAATGTACGTTCCGAGCGTACAATGTGTCGTCCAAGGAATACATGAATACGAAGGCGAACGAAAACCCGGGAGAAAATAAACCGATGATCGACGGCGGAATCGACGCGCGCCACTTCGCGCGTCGAGTATATATCCTCATCCGGGCCCGAATAACCACGCGAGAGATTTTCACCTGGGTAATAATTTCTCCATAGGTACACGTCCCATCCGCCGTAATATTGGAAAGAAAGCCAAGATCAGCGAGAGCAAGAGAAGGGGAATGTGCTACCACGTAAGAGTGTGTTACTACCAGGTGCAGCAATGCGCATATGGAGTCTGCATTCGGCAGACTCATCAGCTGAGTGAACGCCCGTTGTTATTGGTACATTCTTCTAGATCATCCAACCAGACTTTTAGGGCCGGGGTATTCAAACAAAATTTTCTGAATCTTATTACAAGTAATATATATTTACATTTTAACACTCTGAGAAAAAAAATGCTGTTGATTCAATTAAAGTCTATATTACGGGCTGTAACTAACATATAAGTAATTGATTCATGTATATTTTTATTGGCACATGAAGGCCTTGATTGTCGAAATAATAATTTATGCCTTTATATCAAGAAAAATATACGTGAATTAATTACTTATATGTTAGTGACAGCTCGTAGTATAGACTTTAATTGAATCAACAGCATTTTTTTTCTCAGTGAATATTTATTCGCAGTAGAGAAATGTTTATTTGGACAGTTGGAACTATTTAAGAAACAAATTACTTAGATTCAGAAAATTTTTTTATCAGTGTAGTCAGATCTTATATTCAAGATTATCTTAAATAGTTTTAAAAAATCATAAACTAATTAGAGGGCCGTCTTAAGACATTACTTATGACAGTCTTGAAATAAGAATGGACTATGAATACCGTCATTAGATCTAGAAAAATACATCGATAACAGCTAGCGCTCACTCAACTGTTGAGTCTACTGAACGCAGCCAATGGCGGCATAAATCAGGAACCCATCCCGAATAAACGAGCGCGAAATTCGAACGTTAAAAAAAATATAACGCGAAGGACTTTTCCGTTGGATCCATTAGGTTTGTTTTTTTTTTTAGCTGCATTGAGAAAAATTTCTACTAAAAATGAACATATCAGGAAGATTCTGATTGATACCAATCAGAATTTCGATCATTATAATTTGACATCTGATTATCTCAACTAGAATTACCTATAACAAATTTAATAAAAAAGCATTCTGATTCGTCCATTTTCGAACAGAAATTTTTTAGTACACTTTTTTGTACTTAAAATAAAATGTAATAAATACACATTAAAAAAAAAAAATAAAACCATGCAATGTCTATATAATTGTCACTATAACTCAATAAATAGATTAAATAGATTTTAACACCGACATGGTGTGGATTTACAACGCCATGGATATTTTTTAAAGTGTACACGTTCAAAGTTTGATGAAAGCAAGAAGGAAAATTCTACATAACAATCCAGGACACGTATTATGAAATTGTTCGGAATAAATTTCGATCGAAATTATTCCATTTTCCCGAAAAAATACAATAGAAATCTAGGGAATAATTAAACGATTCCAATTGGTATCCATTCCGAAAATAATTCCATAACACGCATCCAAAATAAAAGGCAAATCTATTTTCTAAATCGCGATTTTCTTTCTTTTTTCAAATAAACGAGTTTGATCTCAAGATCGGTATTCATAGTCCTTTTTTTATTTTAAAACCGTTTTAAATAATGTCTTAAGATGCTAATATATACAAGCACACGTATACACACAAGCCTCTCTTAAGTCAGTCTCAACTGTAGGAATCGATTATGAATACCGGCTTAACTAATATCTTAAGATATTAATACAGCTCTGCGATCATGACACCTTAAGACTGTTACTTAAGACGATTTTAAATATAAGAGCCGAATATGTGAATACCAGCTTGAAAAAGTGAGAAAAGTGCAGCGGGAAAGAACGACGCTCGAAACCTTTGCGAATTCGAACGCGAATCCTAAAAGAGGACCGGTGAGATGAGGTTATGTGCCGATGTAAACCAAGGGCGCCAGCATTTTCGAGGGCCGCTCGGATTTAAGCCCGAACTACACGACGGCACGCGACATTGCGCTCAATCGATTCGAATGAATTTCTATCGCGTGCCGGGACGTAATGTAGGAATAGAAAAGTCGCTTAAATCGAGCAACAAGGATTCTCTTCCGAAATCGTGAAGATGGCGTTGATCGCCGATAATTAGAGCTCCTTTCCTCTATCTCGAATTACGTCGCAGTTACATCGAATCGTACGAAGAATATGATACGATCGTTCCTTTTTTTTTTTCGCGAGAATCGTGTCTTATTATCACGGTTCGTCGCGCTTTGCTTCTTATTAGATCCGAGAATCGAATGTATATTTTGAAACGAGGTGAAAATTACAAAAAAGTGAGCAAAAATTCGCTAGAATATTTATAAAGTCTGTCCGCTGTACTTTTTTGCATTCAGTACTCTTTAAAGTCTTTAAATCTTAAGTCTACAATGAGATTTTAAGGCGTAAATTTTAAGCTTTAAGCTCTAAGAAATTGACTAATCACAAATGTGAGGAAAATAATCGACTACGATCATAGACGCCGCTTTAGAGTGAATCTCACTGTAAAGAGTGAAATCTCACTCTGGAAGATTAAAAATTGAGCTGCTAATTTTCAAGACGGACTGAATTTTTAAGTGAGATTCTATTCTAAAAAATTAGAGATACCTTTGCTTCAATTTTCTTCAATGCTTCAATATATATTTATCTCATTTTAGAAAACTATTCAGATTTCAAGTAACGCGAACATATGATTTCATTGATAAACAACTAGTGAATTTGCTCACTTTGTTAATTTTCATCTCGTTTCAAGACACACAATCGATTCTCTGTTGTTTTGAGCTGCTAACCTTGCAAGGTTCTCCACGTTGGAGAGGAAAAAAAAAAGAGAGAAAAGTACAAGAAGTTCAACTGAAAAAGAGGCAGGCCTATTGGCCCCGATATCGGTGTCGACAAAATTACAGCGCAACAATACCGACCGCGTAGGCGCCGGCTTTGACCAAAGAGAGTGAGAGAGCAAATTGATCGAGACAGCGGAGACACGGTCGGCGACGACCAGCCGTTTAATCCCGCCGATCGATCCGATCCTACGCGAATCCAACCTGCAATGCGATCCGCCCTGGGAATCGACATCCGCAGCGCGAGCGCGAATTATCGGCCGCGATTAGCTCCGGTCGTTTGGTATCTCCAACAGGCTTCAACCTGCTCTCGAAAAAACGGCTCAAGTTTGCGTGATAGACGCGCGAGAGAGCCGAACGTGAGAGACGAG